ACTTCAAAAGAAGGGACTCACACCCTACAATCTCCGGAGCAGGGCTGCTGCGAGGAGCCAATGATCCTCGGATAATAATTTCCACTCCCTCACCCCTTCTCTGTTGTCCTGGTTGGTGGAGCACCTGAAACCCTTCTGGGCACATTTCTGAGAGGGGGACTCCTCCCTCATGGCCCAACCAGGTTTCAGTAATACATGCCAGGTCTGCCTCCTCGTCTAGTATTAAGTCCCGGACGAGGGGAGCTTTATGAATCACAGACCTGGCATTTAGCAACAGCAACCTGAGACCAGGGCCTTGACTTCCCTTGTCACCTGGTCGTTGAGATGAGCTTACAGGGCCGGAACAAGGGATAGCTGTGACGTAGTGAACCCTCCTTCCCCGGTAATGGCTAGCCCTGTAGCTCCCGTCATACCTGCCCCTCCCAGTTGTAACCACGATGCTCCGCCCGCCCCCATCCCCGTAGATCCCCCCCTTCTCCCACGGTCCCCGTTCTTCTCGGCAGGCCATTCATACCATGCGCTCTAGGATGAGAGGCGGATCCGGCCCCCATCCACTTCTGCTTCTGTACTCAGTGGAGGGGGCTCCAGGCCGCACTCTCAATCCCCTCATACATACCGGCCAAACATACTCCGCATAGATACCGCACTATAGCATTAAAAACATACAACAATACAATAAAATAGAAAGATGAATTAAATTAATTTAAAAGAACGTGGGATCACTCAACTACATGCATACCACACACATTTCATATACAGAAAGTTCGCGCAGATGTTAATATTAGTATTGTGCAAAGTCTATAAGGCGGATTTGTAAAAAGTTCAGGTAGATGGAGATCAGCGGTGATAAGGAGGGAGAGTAATACGTCTTCCCTCCTTCCTGTGCACTAGAGTGGTGTAGCAAGGGGGTCCAAAAAGTCAGCAGTGATGAGGGAGAGTAATTCATCTTCCCTCCTTCCTGTGCACTAGAGTGGTGTAGCAAGAGGGTCCAAAAAGTATGAGGATTATAAGCAGTTTTGTTATACTTTGATTTATACATAAAATACATAATGCACTTATGTACACAGTGTAAAATGTTTAGGTTATACACATGTATCTTTGGTCTATTTGTGTGATATTGAGAATGATTTTTTTTAACAACTTTCTTTTCATCTTTTTATTAGTAAATCTGAAAGGGTGTCTTAGAACTCCTCACCTAATCGGTACCAGTGACCCTGATTTCGTAGTTCTGGAAGATGGTTCAATATTTACAGCAAATACAGTTTCTTTGTCTTCTGGAAAGAAAACATTCACCATATTGCTCAAGAATTTGCAAAATAGTCAACAAAAGCAAATCCATGTTAATTTACTGTCACGTTCTCCAAAAGTGAGTGGCTTGGAATTAGTTGTTATGAAAGTTAATTCACTGAAACTGATTCTAGGAAAATCCTGATATTTGATTTTTGCTACTCTATCCTCATTCATATGTAAATCAGCTCTTCCAAACCTGGTAACTTCTAAATTAATCAGTCAACATTAGCCAGTTTCAGAACTGACACCCTGATGCGGATGGATCATATTGTGGAAATTTGAATTAGTCAAAATGCTTGACATCAAAACATTCTTCTAGGAGTTTTAACTGATGAAATGCAGTGAGTCTGTAGACATGAGGTTCCTTCTGGGATCTTGGCAATGTGTGAATGTTAAATGTATGATGTATTTAAAAGGACATTGTATAAAGGAAAATAATAGAGAGACAACAATATGGCTTTTTCTGACAGCCTTAGCAGTTCCTATAAGATAGCATTATAATATATAGTTTTAACAAGTTTTTAGCATTCCTTTAGCTATAGATGAAAGATAAATTCTGAGTTTATCTTGTTAAAATTATTGTGTTGGACAAAGAATGATGATAGTAAAGACATTCCATGAAAAAAGTTTATTTGGGCCACTGAAAAATATAAGTAAATAAGTCAGCTGAAAATACTAGAATAAATTATATATTTTGCAAATATATTACTATTTCTTGATTGTATATCTTTTGAACTTAGACACATAAAACAGGAGAGATAGTTCTTAGACGCAGTAAACGAAGATGGGCTCCTGTACCAACTGTTATAATGGAAAATTCACTGGGACCTTTCCCAATGCAAATTCAGCAGGTAAGTTAATAGGTTTCCTCTTCCTATTTTAAGTAAGGATACATGTTATTTGCAACCTGTATGTAATACAACAAGTCTCATGTGTAGTCACACAAATATTAGTATGATACAAATCTAGTTTTTAATTTCCTTTTTTATTTTGGCACCACCTTTCTAGAAGAATGGTGTATTCAAACTCTGTAATGAAAGAATACAATTACCAATTTGCTTATCATTCAATTAAATTTTGGTAGATAAGGAAATTCCATTTTTGAGGATACATGCATTTTTTTTCAAGAATTATGACACCTTGTTTCATGTGTCCTTGTTAGATAAATACTAGTATATATCTGACTCACATTTTATGAGTTGAAGCTATCGGCAGACTTCATCTATCTACTCTACTGAGATTGAACAGCACAATAACATAAATTGATTTTGCAGTTTCGAATGAGAATAGTTGCTGTATGTGTAGTGTCTACTAAGATTTCTAAGAGCTTTTGTAAGAGATGGATTTTTAAATTATTTTCCTGATGCAGATGTGTGGTAAACATCTAGTCTGACATAGCTCTCAAACACAATAAAGGAAAGTTGAGCAGCAAAACTAGTTTGTTTACAATCTAAATCACCAATAATGCTTGTAATTTTTGAGGTGTATTTTGATAGGTGTACTGTTAATGCTGCAATGGTTAAAGTAGATCAAACCTTCCAAATAGTAAATGTATATCAGTGTTTAATTTACACACACACACACACACACACACACACACACACACACACACACACACACTACAGTTGATATTTAATATAATATTGATAAAAAATTGCAAAGTGCATTGAATTTTTTTCTAATATGAAAAAGTCTTTATCTTTGAACTCAATACCAACTTATTCTGTATTATTATTTATAAGTACTAAAAAGGGAAAATGCTATTTGGAAAAATAGGAAAACTATGGATATTTTATCTCTAACTATCCCCTTCTCTGTACACCAACTATTTGCAGTGTATATGAATATTTAAATTTCCTTAAAACCATATTATGTGTTTATATTTGCCTTCTTAGTGTCCATCAAAGCAAACAATATAAAATTAATACATGTATCCATCATGGGCAATATGTAGCCCTTTAGATATTACATTCTAACTCTTATCTACTTTAACTGCTATCTGAAGCAATGAGGAAAAGGATGTTACAATCCAGCAACATTTGAAGGACTATGTTATCATCTTTTGGCATATATATTGAATACTTTTTAAATGTTTAGATATTTTCTGTGGAGGAGTGGATTGTTTTACTTCAGTTTTGGGATGTAGGATATAGTTATGTTTTCTTTTTCCCCTCCATTTTTTTTATAGCTATCTTCTGATACAGCTCAAAAATACAACATTACCTATTCCATTGGTGGTCCTGGTGTGGATCAACCACCACTAAATTATTTTTACATTGAAAAGGAAACCGGAAATCTCTTTGTTACTTGTCCAATAGATCGGGAGGAATATGCGGAATTTCAGGTAAGAGTCACAATTTTATCATTTTCTAAACTATAGGTTTGTCCTCCATTCATGATAGCAGTTGGGACTGGTTAATTGATGTGATTCTAAAGTGCATATCATGTGACCAAATCACTTAACTATGGCAATTCCGGCAGTTCTAGTTGCTATTGTTAAGTGCATCACCATGGGTCATTAAGCAAGAATGTCACATGGTCAACCATTATGATTTCCCCATTGAATCTGCAAAAAAAAGAGGTCACAGTGAATGATGGATGCTCCACTCTCATAATTACAAGCTGATGCCCTGGATCACAATCACGTGATTGTGCGGATACCACAAAAGTTGAAATGCTTAGGAATGACTTGTTCATGTTGCCAATAATTAGAAGAAAATCAAAATTTAGATTTTATGAAACTCAGAAAAGCAGTTGCATCCCTTGGAGACGCTATTTAAAGTTAATCATACTAATACATTTCAGAAAGGACCTAGCTGGTAAGCTATTATTACTTCTCCACCCTTATTGCATTTTCTGATAGCCATCCAGCAGTTCTGATTAAGATCCCTTAATCTCTGTTGGAAGGGAGGACCCCTGGGAACATCTGCTGGGCCACTGTAAGAATTATTCAGACTATCTGATGGATAGCATCATTCAAATATGACATGGTTTGTTGATGCAATCTAGGATAAGCTTCAGCTGGTGATTCCTGAGGAAGTAGATAGGGTTCTTTGTGCTGTCAGCTCAGCTACCAATGTCTTGAATCAGAGTCCTTCCTGCATCATAAAAATGATCAGGGAGGTGACCTGCATTTGGGTCCATGCTGAGGCATACGCCTCTTTGACAGAGAAGGGGTGGTATCTCCTGTCTTGAGAGAAAAGGTGTTGCATGTCCTCCTCAAGAAGCTGCCCTTGGGTTCAGTGGTTCTCAATAAGTACCATCCAAACTCCAGACTTCTAATTCTGGGGAAGATTGTTGAGAAAGTGGTTGTCCTTAAGTTGATGAGTACACTGGAAGAAGCAGATTATAACTATTTCAGTGAGATTTCAGGCTGGGATTTAGTAATGAGGCAGCTTGGTTGCACTGTAGATGTCTTGTGGTGGAAGCAAGATGAGGATGGTACATTTGTGTTTGTGCTTCTTAATCTCTCAGTGGCTTTGTTATCCCTATCATGACGTCCTTCTGAGCTGACTTCATGACTTAGTGATAGGGGACTGAGTTATGATGCTTCTCTTCCTTTCTGGATAATTTGATTTTACAAGGTGGTGCACTCTGGTTTCCTTCAGTGAAACTAAGCTATGCCAGATGTGCGTCTTCTCTGTCACAGAGTCTGCAGTCTGGAATGAAGCTCCCTTTGCCCCCAAATCTACTGATGTTTCATAGGGTGGTGAGACTTGGATTTTTAGCTAGGATAGTTGAAGTCCGTACTGAGCACTCTGTAATGGTTTCATGGTTGCACACTTTTGTCATCTTTTGCTCTTGTCTTTCTTAACATATGGCTTTATTTTTCTGTTGCTTTTTAGTTTGTGAACTGTCCAGAGTTATGGAAGTCTGTTTGTATGCAAATTAAATATGTAAATCAATAAATACTAAGGTTTGTGTGCAAGGAATGTTAATTGTTAAAAGAGATCAGCAAAGAAAATCAATTCTGCATGGATAGCAAATTAAAATACTTTCTTTTTTACAGATAGTTTGCTATGCAAAGACATTAGATGGCTACACACCAGAGATTCCACTTGTACATATAATCCGAATTGAGGATGATAATGATAATCCTCCAATTTTTAATCCTGATACAGTTACTTTCTGTATTATAGAGAATAGCAGACCTGGTAAGCATATATATAATTTGAAAACATTTTAGTTTTATATTCTGTTACCAATTTAATCCCTCGTGGGACTGCAGTTTAATGGATAAGATTCAGCCAATGAAGAGTGAATAGTTATTGAACCTAGTTTCTAAAAGAATGATTATGTCAACTATAGTTAATAACATATAGTTATTAATATTTTTATGTGGAATGAAGCCATAAAATTCTCTACCTTGGAATTTCAAGGTAAAATTTTCTACCTTAGAAACAGTCACAGGTAACCATTTCTACCTTGAAAATATCTTCACCTTAGTATCTGAGTCACTGTATATCTGTGTTGCTCAGAGACTATTATCCTCTAGTGCAGTGTTTTTCAACCACTGTGCCGCGGCACACTAGTGTGCCGTGACATAGTGTAAGGTGTGCCGTGGGAAAATTACTTTATATATAGTCAATATAGGCACAGAGTTAAATTTTTTAAACATTTTCTAATGGTGGTATGCCTTGTGATTTTTTTCATGAAAAAAGTGTGCCTTTGCACAAAAAAGGTTGAAAAACACTGCTCTAGTGCTTTGAAGTTCCTTGGATCCTCAATAGCACAGGTGGCAAACTGGCATCACATTGCTGTCACATGACGTTTCGTGATGTTTTTTCTCTTTGCAGAACTGGGGTGGGCATGGCCTGCAGGTGACGTATCTGGCCTGTGGGCCACCAGTTTGACACCCCTGCTCAATAGAATTTTGTTTCTGATGATTTGGGTCAGTTTCATACATTACTGAATCTTTTTCTGACTCCATTAATAAAAAACTAAAGAAGCTTCTGTTATTTGGAGTTAGGGTTAGAACATGAAAGTTTGTATTTAGATCATATGTTTTGATCATAATGTGAACAGTGAAATCAAACTTGTTATTAATTTGCTGAATATTTTTTTATTTTTTTATTTTTAAGCATCCACTGTAATATTGTAGCGAAATTGACAGTCAGAAATGGATATATAACCTTCATTAAGCATTATATGCACTTGAATAAGCAGTTTCCCCAAAATTCTTGTAGCCATTTTAAATGTGTTGTTGATGAAAACACGACCAATTTCATGCAGCATGATAAACCACAGCTTTGGTAAAATGAGCAAGTCTGGATTGAAGAAATGTGTATGAGAAATTGTAGAAATTTGTATGGAAAGAAGGCAAATGGAAATGTCCTTATTGCATTAATTTAAGTATCGCTTGATAGGTAGCATATATACAATACCAAATCGAAGCTATATCTCTAATAATAATGTGAGAAGCATATTATGGTAGACTACTGCATTTTTCCCCATGTAGATACCTTCATTGGGCAAATGATTGCAACAGACAGAGATGAACCGGGCACACTGCACACTAAACTGATGTACACAATTGTGGGACAAACTCCTGCTTCACCTCGAGGTGGCCCTTTATTTAAAGTACACAAAGAAACTGGTGTTATTTCTTTGCAGAGTGCATTCTTGGACAGAGAGGTAATCCCCTCCCCCCCAAGCCTAATGTTGTTGTTCTTTACCTTTGCAACTTTCAGGGACAACTTTTGAAGAGGGTTTGGAAACAGAATTCTGCCTTTAAACTATAGATGTGAAGTGGTTTTAAGGAATGTATAGTTTCTTTGTAACAAACGTTTTATTGCTCATGGAGCCAATTTGAACTGCCAGATTCTTAAGCATGTTGCAGATTTGATTGATGGGGCTAACAAAATTAGATTCATGTCCTTTATCTTAACTTGATTGAAAGATGGTGGATAAAATATTTGTATCTGAAGTACAGTCAAGGGCATATGCAAATTCTCTGGGCTGCACTTTCAAAGAGAGTATGGGAAGCAAATGAATGCTTAGAAATGGGTTGGTAAGTCAGTTGCTAGCCAGGGACATAGAATTGGAAGAAAAAATGTCCAATAGAAAATGGTTTGAGGAAGAAGATTGCAATATTCCATATTGACAGCTTATACTTTTGAGATAATTACAGCGTTAAAGAGGACCTTCTGTGTGTTGTAAGGCTATTCATTCCACGAAGAGCATGCCCATTAATAATACATTGGTAAAAGCTATTTTTCTTTTTCTGCCATACTAACATATGTTAGTATTTTAAACAGATTTCTGGAATTCACAGAAATTTGTCACTAGTATGCAATTGGTAGCACAACAATATATAAAAACTATTGCCGTCTTACCCAACTTGACCTCTAGTCATTATATGTATATTTTTAAAACCCCATGATTCATTACTCTTTATAATTATAAATTGCATGTAATTTACTTGGTTTTTAAGAATAAACAAACAATATCTGGCATGTATTACTGAAACCTGGCTGGGCCCAGAGGGAGGAGTCCCCCTTGTAGAGCTGTGCCCAGAAGGATT